TTTCATTTAACGGACAACCCACCGGTGAAAGTGTGACGCGTGGAATCGCTGGCCCCGAGAAGTTGTTCCACCTCGTCATTCCGATGTTTTGATTGGCTGTCCCACCCTTACGGTGAATGTATCTGTGATGTCAGCAGGTTGGGAACCAGACACCATTGCCAAAGAGCCCCTGTAAGTGCGGGGCTCTCTGACGAATCTCGTCCATGCGATTGCGTATTTTTGACGGTTCAGGCAGGTTGCGACACCCGTAGCGAAAATGAACGAAAGTGGCAACAACCTCCACGTCAGCTCATGACTCAGAGTATCGTGTCTCGGAAGCTGAGATTCCCCATCGGTGCTCCTGTCTCATAATTCCCAAGTGCCGCTCGCTACTCTAAGTCGTCAACATTCAGCCATGGCTCTTCCTGGTTTAGATAGTAAACTCGCCTTTCAGCCGATTTCCATGCCCTTTCCCCACGGCGGAGGCTGGGTCGACATAAGCGTAGAACACGCCAACAGGCTACGACCCGGTGAATGGGTCAGCGGAATCGTTATCGATTGGCTCGGTGTGTGAGTATCAAGATTAGAGACTCTTTAGACAGAGACGTCACGGTTCTATCATGTTGTTCATTTGGCGTTAATATGCGCACACGCTGGATGCTGCAGTACGAGCACGGTCGCAACCGCAACAAGTGGCTTTACGGTGGATCATATTTCTGGGACTACGCTCGGAAGGACACATCGAGGCGTGAGAACGCTTATACTTTCGGATTGGGTATTTTCGAATTCACATATGTTCTCGTTCCGATTAATACCGAGTGAGTACTCGTCGCGTCGAGCCGTTGCACCAGAGATAACTCCGTAGTCTAAGGTTGTAGTTACTGATGCTAGTCCTCATGTATGCCTTAGGAGTCACTGGAGCCTGATCGTCATCGAGATCATCCCGAGACCCGACGACACGATTCCCATGAACTGCGTGCTCTGGCACGCTGACTTGTACGGTACCCATGACGGTGTTGACGCTCCGTTGCGCAGGTACTCTCTCTCGAATGGCAGTCCGCTATTTTCTCGTACAGAATATCGGGGTAACTTAATCATTGAAGCACGTTCTCCCGCTTTGCAGGTTCTTACGAAACGAGGTGATAAGATGCTGTGCCTGGATCATTGATTCGGACGCAGATGCATGGGCTACGAGCATCCCGCTACGGCAGGTCAAGGTAAGCGCTATTGCCTTGTTTGTACGAGCTCCAAAACAAGCGCATCTCTCTTGTAAGGAACGCGATGTTTACACCGAAACCCCATTTTCGGTGGGGGCCTTACCCTGCCATCATTGACCTTGTGTGTTTTCAGATTCCAATGCAGGACAATGAGAACGACTGTGGTGTGTTCACGATGCGTCTGATGCACACGTTGGTCGAGGATGGTTTCCGTAACCTAACAGCGTGTGAGCTTGTCGGTACGCCACTCAAGTGGCGCCGTCAGTACCGTCGCGATTTGAGGAAGTGGTCTGTGTATTTTCGGGCAAAGACGATGGTGGAGGTTGGAGGGGACGCATAAGGCGGTGATAAGCTGGTAATGGGGCGGGGAACTTGGCGGAATGCAGCGGTAAGGAGGGGGGGGTGAGGCGCGGATCAAAGGGGATTGAGGAGGGTTGAAAGGGGGGATTGAGGCGGGGATAAATGGGAGAATGAGAGGGTGAGCAAGGCGGATGAGGCGGTGTGCAAGTGGGAATGAGGCGGTGAGCGCGAGTGGAGGAGGCGGGTATGTGGGAGTGAACAAGGAGGTGCGCATATGGGGCATGATACGGGAGACGAGGGGTAATGGGGCAGTCCGCAAGGGGGAATGAAGCGGGTAGCAAGGGTTAAGCAGGCGGTGAACGAGGGAGGATGAGGCGGGAAGCAGGAGGAAATGAGGTGGGTATGTGGGAGGAATGAGGCGGTGAGCGAATGGGTATGAGGCGGGTAGCAAGGGGGAATGAGGCGGGTAGCGAGGGTTAAGCAGGCGGTGAACGAGGGAGGATGAGGCGGGAAGCAAGAGGAAATGAGGTGGGTATGTGGGAGGAATGAGGCGGTGAGCAAAGGGGGATGAGGCGGGTAGCAAGGGGGAATGAGGCGGGTAGCGAGGGAGAATCGGGCGGGTAGCAAGGGGAACGAGGAGTGTAGCAAGCGGGGATGAGGCTGGTATGTGGGGGGAACGAGGCGGTGTGCGAAGGGGGGTGAGGCCTGTAGCAAGGGGGGCTGAGGCGGTGAGCGAGAGGGAATGAGGGGGGAAGCAGGAGCTACCGAATGGGAGCGCAAGGGGGAATGGGGCGGGTAGCAATGGGGAATGGGGCGGGTAGCAAGGGGGAGTTAGGCGGGAAGCAAGGGGGACTGAGTCGGGAAGCAGGAGGGAACGAGGCTGGAAACCGGAGAGAACGGTGCGGTAAGCATAGGGGGAATGTGACGGTGAATAGGGGGGGATGAGGCAGCGAGCAAAGGGGGGATGAAGCGGGTATCAAGGGAGAATGGGGCGGTGAACGAAGCGGGACGAGGTGGGAAGCTGGAGGGAATGTGGCTGGTATGTGGGGGGAACGAGGCGGTGTGCGAAGGGGGGTGAGGCTTGTAGCAAGGGGGACTGAGGCAGTGAGCGAGAGGGAATGAGGCGGGAAGCAGGAGCTACCGAATGGGAGCGCAAGGGGGAATGAGGCGGGTAGCAAGGGGGAATTAGGCGGGAAGCAAGGGGGAATCACGCGGGAAGCAAGGGGGAATGGGGCGGGTAGCAAGGGCGAATAAGGCGGGAAGCAAGGGGAAATCAGGCGGGTAGCAAGGGAGAATGGGGCGGGTAGCAAGGGGGGATGAGGAGGGTAGCAAGGGGGAATGGTGCGGGTAGCAAGGGGGAATGAGACGGTGAACAGGGGGGGATGAGGCGGCGAGCAAGGGGGGATGAAGCGGGTAGCAAGGGGAAGGAGGCGGTGAACGAAGCGGGATGAGGCGGGTAGCTGGAGGGAATGTGGCTGGTATGTGGGGGGAACGAGACGGTGTGCGAAGGGGGATGAGGCCTGTAGCAAGTGGGACTGAGGTGGGAAGCAGGAGGGAACGAGGCTGGAAACAGGAGTGAACGGTGCGGTGCGCATAGGGGGAATGAGACGGTGAACAGGGGGGGATAAGGCGGTGAGCAAAGGGGGGATGAAGCTGGTAGCAGGAGGGAATGAGGCGGGAAGCTGGAGGGAATGAGGCCGGTGTGTGGGGGGAACGAGGCGGTGTGCGGAGGGGGGTGAGGCCTGTAGCAAGGGGGACTGAGGCGGGAAGCAGGAGGGAACGAGGCTGGAAACAGGATTGAACGGTGGGGAGCGCAAGGGGGAATGAGGCGGGTAGCAAGGGGGAATGGGGCGGGTAGCAAGTTGGATTGAGGCGGGTAGCAAGGGGGAATGGTGCGGGTAGCAAGGGCGAATAAGGCGGGAAGCAAGGGGGAATGAGGCGGGAAGCAAGGGAGGATGGGGCGGGTAGCAAGGGGGAATGAGGAGGGTAGCAAGGGAGAATCGGGCGGGTAGCAAGGGGGAATGAGGCGGGGAGCGGGAGGGAACGAGGCTGGAAACAGGAGAGAACGGTGCTGTGCGCAAAGAGGGAACTTATAAGCAATAGGTTGTCAAACAAAACCAATAGGGAACTGTTTGTCCCTTCGTCCTGTCCATCTTGACAAGCCAACAAGCACGACACAAAGCGCGAGGAAGATGCTTTGAATCACTCCTGCTTACCGTGATGACAAGTGTGACCAAAAGGGGAAAGTTTGTCACTTCCACTCCTGCAGGACTAGATCACTCTACCCATACGGATTTGTTTGTCACTGCCGGTCCAGCTCGACATGTCAACTAACAATACACGACGCAGGAGGGTGACGCTGCAAAACAGTCCAGCATGTCCCCGTAACTCTTGTGACCAAACAGCAAGTGTTTGTCACCTCCTATCCAGCCTGAAACTAGAACATACAACACACCAAGCTCTTGGTCGTTGCACTAAAGCTGCCCTGCATGTCATGGCATTATGCAAACAAGCCCCAGAAGGGGAGTTTGTGTCTGGCACTGGTAGTTTCGCACGACAAATGAAATACCGGTTGCCATCTAGTTGTGACACCAATATATCATTTACATTTACCCTATTCACGCAACAATTAAGGGAACAGGGTCTCTGCTCTACCTCAAACTGCTCGAGGCATGGTCTGTGAAGGATGTGTCTGGTTATGCACTGTCGTGTCGCCTACTTGTGAGTATGCAGAAGGGATTGGACAACTCAACATTCCTTTGAATGTAATGTTTAACATGTTCGTTCACCACTGTATTGCAACCCTAAACCCTAAACCCTAAACCCTAAACCCTAAACCCTAACATGTCCTTACGTGCCCCCCGTGCGCCACACCAGTCACCTCATTACTTTGCCGCATACGCGGATGTCTCCGACATGCGACCCAATCACAACCACTCACAACTAACTCCCGAGTCTGCGTTTTTATCGCACGCGTTCCACAACAGCTTCGTGTCTTCCATGTCGCATCGCTGTACGAATTGCGCCTAACCTGCGTCCCCGTTTCTCCGGAGTTGCTATGTGACTCTCTCGACGAAGTCCATGAAAATTAGCCACATCACGTCAGTGCGGGCAGGAAAAATGTCTCGGGCAAGCCCTAATACACTCGCGCAAGTTCACGCGGCTTGAAAAGTTAGTATCTCCCACTGGATCTTGCCCCAGTAGTGCAGCAACAAATTTTAATTTTTTGCCACACGTCAACCACCGTGCGATTGGTTGTTGCGGGAAACGGGCGACCTGGATGGCACAAGGTGCACCAGACGAGGAAACACTCAAACCCTCGTCACCTCCGTGCTCCTCTTGCGTGCCAGCTTGTGGGACAATATCTGCTCCATGCCCCTATCTGAGACTCGTCTCTCTCTCTGGTCAACCGTTTTTTAGTGCTCGAAGCAGGTCTGTCGGGTTGCAACGTTATAAAGACTCACCACCTCAGAATACTGCGTGAATAGAAACCTAGACATCGCAATGGGTAGTCAGACAATGAAGGGGCCCGATGGGGCGATCGTTTTGGCGGACTCGTCGAAATCGCCAGAGGAAAAAAAATATACGGAGTTAATCACAGCAAATAAGACAGCCGAGATGGTGGGCGAGTACCGCAAGTATAACGCGTCGTCGGCGCGAGAAGAGGTTGAGTCAGAACGTGACACCTCATCTGGTAACGAATCAAAGAGCGACGGCGCTGTTGAGCCATATGCAAACAAGGGCGTATCATCCCCTCCGAAACCAAGGGAGAAGCGCGTGAAGCACTTAGATGATATCGTTCCCAAAGCCGGTTAGAAAGGTAAGTGTCTTTGGTGGCAGCTACTGAATGATCGACTTGTATAATAAATTACCACAGATTGATGCATTAACTGCTGTTTGCCGTGGTGTCTGACTTGTTCCCTCTACTGTCTCTCCGATTGTGATTCCGCAGAAGTGTCAGCGGACAAGCGTGACAACCGGAGGGGGCGTAAGCGCCGTCAACGAAAGAGGGGCACTCCTTCACATCGCGAGGAAGGTGCTGCGTCGGAAGGCGACGAGGAGGTCGAGGATGACGGACATGTCAAAGAAGGTTAGCGTCTATGTAATATCGACGGTTTCAAAGTTACACGTTACTCAGTACAACAACTGCGCATATTGTTGCAACTTCATGCCAATAAGGTTAGCGTGCACTGTACTGCTAATATACCTGTAATGTCCGCCTTTGCAGCTCGGTCAGCAGGCAGGCGAGCAGGCCAACGCGGTGGAAGTTATACCCGTAGCGGGAAGGCTGCGGAGGATCCTGGCAGTCCATCACGCCGCCAAGGAATGGCATTGGCGCGTGGCGACGAGCAGGAACATGCCGAGATTGAAGGGCGTGGTCGTGGAAAGCGCAACAGCACCAAGGCGACGGCGGCAAAGGGCTTTTCCTCGGGCAGGCACTCGGAGGATGTGGCTGGTGGCGACGTGCAGGAAGATGCCGAGCTTGAAGGGCGTGGTGGTGGAAAGCGCAACAGCACCAAGGCGGCAGCGGCAAAGGGCGTTTCCTCAGGCAGGGAGTCGGAGGATGTGGCTGGTGGCGACGTGCAGGAACATGCCGAGCTTGAAGGGCGTGGTGGTGGAAAGCGCAACAGCACCAAGGCGGCGGCGGCGGCAAAGGGCAGTCCCTCGGGCAGGCTTTCGCAGGATGTGGCTGGCGGCGACGAGCAGGAACATGCCGAGCTTGAAGGGCGTGGTGGTGGAAAGCGCAACAGCACCAAGGCGGCGGCGGCGGCAAAGGGCAGTCCCTCGGGCAGGCTTTCGCAGGATGTGGCTGGAGGCGACGAGCAGGAACTTGCCGAGCTTGAAGGGCGTGGTGGTGGAAAGCGCAACAGCACCAAGGCGGCGGCGGCGGCGGCAAAGGGCAGTCCCTCGGGCAGGCTTTCCCAGGATGTGGCTGGCGGCGACGAGCAGGCGCTGCCCGAGCCCGTCATCAAAGGTAGGCGGTTCCTGGGTCCATATGTCGTTGCTTTTGTGGTTTACAGCCTACGCCGCCTCCGTCCTTGTATATTGTTACCTGGTGCACCAGCGAATATGTCGTGAGTGACATGACACCTACATTCTCTCTCTAAAGTTGCTTGCGCTGCAGGGATAGCACACCAGCGAGGCGGTGGCGGCATCGATCAGGATGAGGACGAGCATGCAGCAGTGGCTGATGGGAAAGAGCATGGACGTAAAGCTGTGATTCCTTACAAACGACGCAATGCTGTGGTCTCGGGCGGTCGCGACCGTAATGCGAGACAAGCTCGACAAGGCCCGGAAAAGTATGTTTCGGGCTCGTCGGGTTCGGAGGAGGGATCCAGCGACAGTGAGTCAGGCAGCTCATCCGGGAGTGAGGAGGTATACGAGGAGGAGGAGGAGGAGGAGGAGGAGGAGGAGGAGGAGGAGGAGGAGGAGGAGGAGGAGGAGGAGGAGGAGGAGGAGGAGGAGGAGGAGGAGGAGGAGGAGGAGGAGGAGGATGAGGAGTTGGAGCCGGAGAGCGAGGACGGGGAAGAGGCTCGGCCTGTGAAGAGGAGGAGTGTGCGAAAGCACAAGAAGGGCAACGGCAGGCGACATTCGGAAAGGGGACGGGTGAAGAGCCATAAAAAGAGTGTGCGTCGTGCCAAACCACCTAACAAGAGCCAGAGACCTCGATTCGCAGCTAAAATTGTGGGGGTGCGTCCCAAGGCGAAGCGGGCGTTGGATTTTTATGAGTCCATGGGTCTCGGGGGTCCATCAAGCTCTCATGATCGGAAAGCCGCGGACCCGTACGCTGCGTTACGCGAGCCTATCGATTCGGCTGGGAAGGGAGATCCGATGGCTTGGGGGTCTTCGCGTTTTGGCAGGGAAGCGTTGGACCCACCTGGGAAGCATACGGGGGGTCACGGTTCATGTGAAAATCGAGGGGGCAACGAAGCGGCACGAACCCTCGGCCGCTGCAGCAGCCAATGACGGTGTGGGAGGAGGTGTGTGGGCGAATGCCTTGGGTGAATATGGTGGCGGTGTGGAAGGCTCCACGTGGGATGTACGGGAGAGCAGGGGACAAGGAGGAGACGCGAAAATGGAGGGGGCAATGAAGGAGGGGAGGGGAGAGAGCATGGGTACGCCTGGCGCATCCAGTTGGCCCGATATGGCTGGCAGCAGGACTGTGGAGCAGCTCTTGCGAGAGCTTGCTCAGCGGGACCGCGAAATTGCGGAACTAAAGGCAAGGCCAGGATCCAAAGGACCAGCTAAACCCTGCACCCCTCCGTCCATGCCTCCTCCTCTAGCTTCCATGTCGAGCGGCCCATCTGCAGGGGGCCTCAGTCCTGGTGTGGCGCCAGAAAGCTCTGCGACGGAAGACGTACCGGTCCGTCGAACGCGTGGGATGCCCGGACCCAAGCTGCTGAAGGTGACCATGGGGTCGTGTTTAGAAATGGGTGGCATGGGGCTGAGTGATAGCTGAAGCCCTCTCTCTCAACCCCTCGTTTCCCCAACCTCTTTATGCTGGTCAGCGTGTCGGTGGCATTATGCGCAGTGATAGCGGCATGGCAGCAGTGGGATAGGCACTCCCAGTACAACTAACTTCAGGAGGTGGCGCTGGGAGAACGGTGCTCTCACACTCGGCCCCCTCTCCCATATTTCACTCTGACTATTTCCGCCCCTCTCTCTCTAAGCCCTCTCTCCCACGTCTGCTGTTCCTCTACCAGAGCCCCTGCTCACGGTGCTGTTGGTGGAGTGGGTGGCGTGCGGCACAGTGATAGCAGCAGCCCTCTCTGTCAACCCCACGCGACCCCCCTCTCTTTCCGCCGCTCCCCACCCCCCAGGCTCTCTATCCAATTTCTCCCGCCCCTCCTACAGAGCCCTTCCAAAAGGTGCTGCTGGTCGCGGGTCGTGGCATGCGGCGCAGCGTGCAGCGGGGTGACTGCAGTGAGTGTTGAGACTCCCAGTACGAGGAGAACATGGGAGGTGGCGCTGGGAGAACGGTGCTCTCACACTCGGCCCCCTCTCCCATATTCCACTCTGTCCCTTTCCGCCCCTCTCTCTCCCCTCTCTCCCACGTCTGCTGTTCCTCTACCAGAGCCCCTGCTCACGGTGCTGTAGGTGGAGTGGGTGGCATGCGGCGCAGTGATAGCAGCAGCCCTCTCTGTCAACCCCACGCGACCCCCTTCTTTCCGCCGCTCCCCCCCCCCCCCCCAGGCTCTCTATCCTATCCCTCCCGCTCCTACTCCAGAGACCTAGCAGAAACGGTGCTGCTGGTTGCGTGTGTGGCATGCGGCGCAGCGTGCAGCGGGGTGACTGCAGCGGGAGTTGAGACTCCCAGTACGAGGAGAACATGGGAGGTGGCGCTGGGAGAACGGTGCTCTCACACTCGGCCCCCTCTCCCATATTCCACTCTGTCCCTTTCCGCCCCTCTCTCTCCCCTCTCTCTCACGTCTGCTGTTCCTCTACCAGAGCCCCTGCTCACGGTGCTGTAGGTGGAGTGGGTGGCATGTGGCGCAGTGATAGCAGCAGCCCTCTCTGTCAACCCCACGCGACCCCCCTTCTTTCCGCCGCTCCCCCCCCCCCCCCCCCCAGGCTCTCTACCCTATCCCTCCCGCTCCTACTCCAGAGCCCTAGCAGAAACGGTGCTGCTGGTCGCGTGTGTGGCATGCGGCGCAGCGTGCAGCGGGGTGACTGCAGCGGGAGTTGAGACTCCCAGTACGAGGAGAACATGGGAGGTGGCGCTGGGAGAACGGTGCTCTCACACTCGGCCCCCTCTCCCATATTCCACTCTGTCCCTTTCTGCCCCTCTCTCTCCCCTCTCTCCCACGTCTGCTGTTCCTCTACCAGAGCCCCTGCTCACGGTGCTGTAGGTGGAGTGGGTGGCATGCGGCGCAGTGATAGCAGCAGCCCTCTCTGTCAACCCCACGCGGCCCCCCTTCTTTCCGCCGCTCCCCCCCCCCCAGGCTCTCTACCCTATCCCTCCCGCTCCTACTCCAGAGCCCTAGCAGAAACGGTGCTGCTGGTCGCGAGTGTGGCATGCGGAGCAGCGTGCCGCGGGGTGACTGCAGCGGGAGTTGAGACTCCCAGAACGAGGAGAACATGCGAGGTGGCGTTGGGCGTACGGTGCTCTCACACTCTGCCACCCCTCCCATATTCCTCTCTGACTATTTCCGCCCCTCCCTCTCCCCTCTCTCTCCCATCACTCCCCTACCTCAACCAGAGCTCCCGTTCATGATGCTGGTGGTGGTGTCAGTGGCATGCGGCGCAGTGATAGAAACAGCCCTCTACCTCAACCTCTGAATTCCGCCCTTCATTTGGAGTCGTCATTCTTATTTTATTCTCCTGTCCACCCGTCCGTCATAGGTTCATTTCGCCGTGGGGCGGGACCGGATGTGCCTAGAATGGCCAGACGATGCCATAGACTTCTACCCAACGCTCGAACAGCGCCTGCAGGTTTTGTATCAAGTTATCAGCGAGACGCACATCATCAACTTGACGAAGCTGCGAGAGGCTATGGAAGACAAAAACATCGTCGACGGCTTCAAACGCGCTTGGACATCATGGAAGAACGATCGTGGCTTCCACCTCAAGCGTAGAGTGCTTGTAACTTTCGGCAAGAAGGTGGAAGGCCTGCGTGCAGCCAATCTCTGGATGGGCACCAAGAAGAAGAAGAAGATGTGGAAAAAATACCAACCGAGTGAGTACTTACTTGAGTTTCTGTTTTAATCCCCTATTGACATGTCTGCTCGTGCACCCCTCTTGCATGCCCCACGATGATGTATTCCTTACCCCTAATGCATCCCCACTTTGGAAAGCGACTACATACCTGCTCTCCTTGCCCAAGCTTGTAGCGCATGTGCAGTCACATCCGCATGACAGCTTTACGTTGGTTCTTCTCCCACTCTCCCCTTCTCCCGCCCCCCTTTAATCTCCCGCTCTCCCCTTCTCTCCCGCCATCCCGATCTCTCCCGCCCTCCCTTTCTCTTCCGCCCTCCCCTTCTCTACCGCCCTGCCCGTCTCTCCCGCCCTCCCCCTCTCCCCTGCCCTCCCATTCTCTCCTGCCCTCCCCTTCAGCCCCGCCCTTCCCTGCAAACCCTGCCCTCCGGCCAACCCTCCATTCATCCTATACCGCCCTCCCCTTCATCCAAACCCTTTGGACAACCCCTAACCATGTCATGCATGATCACGTTCCCCGCATTGTCATGCGTGCGCGCAGGAGGGAATCAACGGGTCAGCTCGTGGGGGAACAACAGAGGAGGGCTCCCGTTTGCCAACGGCCGGTTTGTAGATGCGGTCCGGGAATCATTCCGGAATCTCTGTGTCGGGCGCCGGGTGTGCGTCAAAGCCTACCACATAGCCTGGTCAATCATGGTGGTAAGACATTATTGCTCAACCGTCACTATGCTCTAGCTTTGCATGCTATTCTAGCCCGCCGGCATGGTATGTGGGGCTATTTGCGCAGCCCGTAAACTCTACACGCGAGTCTCGACAGAAGTCTCTGTTTCCCCTCCTTCCCATACTTTGCTATGCTTTTTCAGATTGACCAGGGCTTGGCAAAGGTTAAGAAGACAGACTGGAACGTCTCGAACCCCCACCGGAAAAACACTGAATGGATGGCGGGTTTGCACCGAAATGTGCGGTGGGTTATCAAGGACCACTTCACATGCCACACCCCCGTGTACAACACAGACGTGCAGGGCTTCAAGTGGGGCGACCGTGGGCTGTATGTTCACGAGTCAGGATTTGAGGCGTTCCGGGGGACGGCCGCGCCTGATAAGGAGAAGAAGGACTTGAAGGAGGAAGAGCCGGAGGTGTACGACACGGAGGACATGGAGACGGATGACGAGGAGGATGAGGAGGATGAGGAGGAGGACGAGGAGGAGGAGGAGGAGGAGGAGGAGGAGGAGGAGGAGGACGAGGAGGAGGAGGAGGAGGAGGACTGTGGGGGCAGGAGCGGAGGAAGAGCAAAAGGCACAAGAGATGCAAAAGCAGCGGAGGCAAGAGGGATGAGCAAGAGGATGAGGAGGAGGAAGAGGAGGAGGAGGGTGTGAAACGGGGGGGGCGGGAGCTTAGGAAGGGCAGAAGGCTGAAGAGAGGGAAAATCAGGGGAGGCAGGAGGGAAGAGGAAGAGGAAGAGGAGGAGGAGGAGGAGGAGGAGCAGGAGGATGAGAATCAGGGGGGGCAGGAGCAGAGGAAGGGCAGAAAGCACAAAAGAGGCAGAGGCAGGGGGAGCAGGAGGGAAGAGGAAGGGGAGGAAGAAGAGGAAGAGGAGGAAGAGGATGAGGAGGGGGGGGGCCAGGAGCGGAGGAAGGGCAAAAGACACAAGAGCGGCAAAAAACGGGGAGGCAAGAGGGCCAAGTGATGGGGCGACAAGACAATGGGGGCAGCAGATGAGGCATGAGTGGAGTTTACAAAGGGGGGCAGCAGGAGAGGCATCACACACTTGCGAGGAGACATCAATACGGATGTAGAGGCATTGGTGGAGACAGCAAGGGGGGCAGCACGCCAGGCAAAAGAGTAGAGTCAGCATGGGGGGCAGCACTGGAGGCAAAAAAGTGGAGTCAGCAAGGGGGGCAGCAGTAGAGACAATGTGAGGAGTGTGCAAGGGGGGGCAACCAGCGAGGCAACTGGAGGATAGTGCAAGGGGGTGCAGCAGAAAGGGCATGAGTGGAGAGAGCTAGGGGGACAGCAGACAAGGCACGAGCGGATAGAGAAAGGGGGAGAGCATTAAGCCAGGAGTGGCACAAGGGGGGCAGCAGGTTAGGCATGACTGGAGAGGACAAAGCAAGCAGTAGTAAAGGCATGACTGGAGAGCGCCAGGGGCGGAGCAGCAGACGCATGAGAGGGCCTAAACATGCGAGGAAGCAGTGGACGCGTGGGCACGCTCGGCCTAGAGCACAAGGGATGGGGTTCGGTGGGAGACATAGTGTACGGGAGCATGAGAAGCAGGTAGTAGGATGATGCAGATCAACCTAACTGACTAGTCATCAAGGGTTTAGGATGCTGTTTTATGTGCATTTTTAGGTGGGAATAATCTGCTTTTACCAAGGATTCTGTAATGTTTATTTTGAATGCAAGGATAAGGCAACTAAACATATTTTTAAACAACATATAAAGGCTTGCAAGTCTCCAATCTAAGCTTATTATAAGAAAACCGTAATTCCATAAAGAGTACATTGCAATGAGATCCGATCTCCGAAATTGCTCTGCGGAAACTCGAACCGAACTTCTTCCGAAGATTTTGACCTGGTAGGTTTGAACCGAGAAGCATTGCCGAAGCATTTGAAAAGCGTTCGACAAAGCATTTGGAAAGCGACCTATACTTTCTCAAAAAAAAGCGTTCGAAACGCTACGTTCACAAATCATTCGACAAAGCTCCAGAGCAACTTTTTTCATCGGCTTTCCGGACGCAGGATTTTTGTGATGTTGTATTTACGCACCCGAGCACTCACTGATGGACGGGTGGAGTAGTGCGAGCGGTTGGACCTTGAGGACAAGAAAACGACCGTTAGCATTTCCCGTCGCCACGCGTTTCTCTTCGCTGTGCAACCCTCACACTCTCATCACCAACCAAAACCCCCATCCCCTCCCCCCCTCTCTTCCCTCTCCCCGCCCTCCACCCTCCTCTCCACACCCTGCCCTTCACCCACCTCTTTCGGCCCACCTCTCTTCACCCTCGGCCCCACCCCTCCCCCCTCGTCCCCCCCCACCTCGCGCAACGCTTCCGCGATCTCGTCGTGGGAGCACCCACTCTCATACCCGATGCCCGTACCCCCTTGCTTCTCTCCCCACCGCTCCCTGCCCCCTCAGCTCTCCCCGCCTCTCCCCTTGCCCCCATCCCCCGTGCGCACCTCGCAAAACGCATCTGCAATCTCGTCGCGCGAGCACCCGCTTTCGTTCTCGATGCCCATCTTCCGCCGCCGCTCCGCCTCGCGCGTGTCCTCGATCATCAGCACCAGCCGGATCTGCGGAGATTGGCGCGCAGTGCGTGGATTGGGAGGGACGAAGAGGGGTGGGTCGCAACGTAACGGAATGGGTGAGGACAGCAGGGAGGGTCCTCTATCATCAGCACCAGCCTGATCTGCCGCAGGAAACAGGAGGGGTGGGGAGCAACGAAAATTGGCAGGAGGGTAGGGTGGAACGAAACGGGGCAGCGGGTCGCAGCAGGTCCTCGATTGTCAGCACCAGCCGGATCTGTGCATAGGCGCGCGGTGAGGTGAGTGGGGTGAGGTGAGGGGTAGGTGAATTGCGGTGAGGTGGCGTTAGTGAATTGGGTCCTCAATTGTCAGCACCAACCGAATCTGCGCGCGTTAGGCGCGCGTGACGTCACATTGGCGCGCGGAGATTGGCGCGCAGAAATTGGCGCGCGGTGAGGAGGGGGAGGGGAGTATGGGTGTGGATGGGGAGGGAGGGACAGCGGGGAGGTGACACAGCGCGAACAACGGACAATGAGGACTAAGGACGTACAAGGAAGGGACGGACATGGACGGACAATCACGGACAATAACAGACAAAGGCTGCCTGCAACAGAATCAGAGTCGCGACAAACCGCAAGGCTAAGAAGCACACCTCCTGCACCGTCATGTCGCGACACCCCTTGAGCTGCCACGATGTCGTGAGCGCTCTATGCGAGCGCGAATCACCTCGAGGATGTCCTGAATATCCCTGAGGTCCTCCGCCTCCTCCGCCTCCTCCGCCGACAGCTGCGCCTCTGCATCCTTCCCCTCCGCCGCCGCCGCCGCTGCCCATGCGGACCGCCTAGACGGGGGACCTGGTTGTCGCGAGGTAACAGCTTGTTGCGATTGGCGGCGGCATCGGACGGCTAGCGATTGTTCGGAAGAGGAAGAGACGACACGCGACGGGATAATGCGGCACGCCGGTGAGCGAACGATGGCGACGCGTGTGGGGCGTGTCGCACGGCGATGGACGTCGCCATTAGGAACGATCTAACGGACTGAACAAAAATCTTGCTGATCGATTGAAATTACAAAATGGAAATCCAAGAAGCAACGATGCACATAGAGGCAACTGGAAAGGGAATCGCGCATGGGAATAGGTACGCGTCTAGAGCTTCTCCTCTTGGATGCTAAATGAGAAGTTGTCCTGACAAATGTTTAGGTTTTGTGAAGCTCGTGAAGTTCTCAACCGCACCGCATCCCCGTAAAAATGGGTTGCTGGTAGGTGCTTTGTGCGGTTTCCTAACTTTCGTTTCCGAACCTCCCAATATGGCTCGCCTTGGAGGGAACGAGCCTTGATGCTGTTTCTGCTGTACTTCCACTGTCCGCTAGTTCCCAAACCTAGTAGCGAAACAAACCTTGGTTGAACCAGACCAAGTTTGACGGGAAGGCTCGCGCAGAAAAGAAAGGTTGGTGCAGGCAAACCACGCAACCTCCAGGAGCGTTTTCCTGTGCGGGACGCTTCCTCTCCTTCCGTAGAGGAACGAGTGCCCAGCAGAAACTGAGGTGTCTCATGTGACTGGTCCGCCCCGACCTGGTCCGTTGCCAAAAAATACATGCCTGGTTCGCCCCGATCTGGACCTTAGAAGCTTCATGAGCATGGCCGTGGGCCTTGTTCGGTAGTGTCCCCAGTCACACTGCGGTTGGTGCGGGGGATCTTCCCTGGCCCACATTCGAACCATGTTAAAGCCCACCAAATCGTTATTAGAACACTGGACCTGCCCAGTGTGATTTGGCTACCGAACGCGTGAAAAAACCCAGTTTGAGTGCGTTCTCTTACCCATCGGCGCACAGCAAATGCTACCAGGTTCGGTACACAATAACAAGATGGGAGGCTCGACGTGGGCTTTAATCCCTGTCACGCGCATTCCTATAATTTTCTTCAAGGGGGCCAAGCACCCCTAATGCGCCAAGAGAACGATAGCGTTTTCCTGTGCGGGACGCTTCCTCTCCTTCCTTAGAGGAACGAGTGCCCAGCAGAAACTGACCTTCGAAGCTTCATCAGCATAGCCGTGGTGGCCTTGCGGAACTGAACTGCGAGCTTGGATAGTCAAGCCATTTCCAGACTCGAAATAGCAGCTGCTGAAAGCGCAGGTTTAGCTGACTGAACATTTTTCCAGGTGGGACGCACGCATTCTCTGAGTGACCCAACGTTGTTCCACGTGAGTCCGCAGTTTCACATTCGCAGCAATCGCTCCTAGGTTGTCTCAGTCACGAACAACACACGAAATTGATTAGAAAAAAAACCTTGTATCCTCGCTGAAGCCGTGGTATTCTATATCATACTGGCGTGGTCCAATCCATTTAGGCCTCAAGCTTCACCTCAGCTGCCAGTTGGTGCACATGACTGTTCTCATAGACTCTAGTAGTGGAACCCACATCCACGATCTCCTAGACGACGTGCTCATCAGGATCTTGTGGCCTTCCAAGCAGTCAGTCATTTCTTGCACATCAAATAGCGATGCTCTGTGCAACTTTTGTCACGCCCAGGTCTAATCATCTATACACGGACGCTACTCCAGACATTGCGATGCCGACCCCTCCTGCCTCTGCAGATGCTGCTCACAATCTCTTCATCGCGTCCATCTGCCGTCGCTGGCGGCGTCTCGCTCAGAGGCATGTTTCGACGCTTCTCGTCAAAGAAGACCGCTTAGTTTCTCGTCAGGATGTCCTCACCGCCGTCGCTTGCTTCCCGAATTTAGCCCACCTGCATCTGTCGGACGGAAGTGTTGAAACGCTGGACAACTCATTTCTAGCTGACCTCCCCTCTTTGTGTCCTGGGCTGAGAGCGCTGCACGTGGGGAAGTTGATGATGGCAGCGGACAACGGACAGCACGGAAGGAGGCACCGTTTTATAACCAAGTCTGGCTTGGACTATTTCTTCCGCCATTGCACTCAACTGGAGCAGGTGTCGTTGTACTATATTGAGGAAAATCAGAACCCACCAGCTTCGTTTTTTCAGCTTCAACATTTGAGCATCCTCGTCTTGACCAATACTTGGATCTTGAAGCCTCCAAACCTCAGCCACCTTTCGTCCCTCACTGCAGTCTCCATTGAAGCCTCCTCTCTTCACTACGACCAGCTTTTCAGCCTCCTTCAACTCACCAACCTCACCCGCCTCTCCTTGCCTGATAAAATTCGCCTTATTTCACCAGGTCCGCCTGCCTTCTCACTCGCCCAGCTACCTGCTCTCGAGTCTCTCAAGTTTGGACTGCGCGGTGCTCAATTCAGCGTTTTTCCCCCTCTTGAATCGCCATACAGCTCCCTGAAACGCCTGCAGCTCAGCAAATGCTTCAGCCAAGAGCGGCTTCCAGACAGTATAGGCGAGATGCTGCCGTGCCTCCAAGAGCTCAGCATCAGCGGGTGCGAAAGCTTCCGTGACTTGACTGATGAGTTCACCTCCCTCACCTGCCTGGAGAGCTTGACCATTTCCTCTTGCCCCTTGTCCGCTCTACCTGAAAACTTCGGCAACCTGCCAGCCTTGAAGACGCTGGTGCTGCGCACCCTGCGGCTTAGCCATTTCCCTGCTTCCTTCACCAGACTCGCATCTCTGGAGTCGCTTTTTGTGTTTTGGTGCATTGGGGTGGACACACTACCTGCAGGGTTTGGCCGCCTCACTGCACTGCAGACTCTCAGCCTTGAATGGCTGATGAATCTGGACCTTCCAGAAGACTTGGGGGGACTCACCAATTTCCAAACCTTCCATCTCACCAAAAACACGGAAGAGCAGCTGCCGCCCTTATTCACGCAGCTGGCGTCACTGACCAGGTTGGAGCTGGATCGGTGCGAGATTGCCGAGCTTCCTGCGGGCATGGCGGAGATGACAAACCTGCAGGAGCTTTGCCTTCGGAAGTGCCCGGCCATCAACGAGCTTCCGGAATTTGTGACGGCGCTGGTCAACCTTCAAGTGCTGAGGATTCAGGAGTGTCGCCGTCTCTCATCGGTTCCCAGGAGGCTGGATAGCCTCACCAGGCTGAAAGAGTTGGAGCTGAGGAAATGTTGGCTGCTGAGAGAAGCTCAGGCTCTGCCATTCAGTCTCCAGGCACTATCCTACTTCGAAAACAGTCAGCACATGGTGTCTCCGCCAGACATTTCAAGGCTTACCGAGCTCGGGGTATTGTTCTTGGGCATCATCCGTGCACCATTTCTTGACGCCATTGCTGCCAGCCTCGCTTCTCTCTCTGGTCTGGAGCACCTGCAGGTGCAGCTGGGCGAAGATGCAGAGGAGTTTCTGTCCCTGTTGGCAAGGCTACCTCGCCTCCGCGTCTTGGCGCTCAAGGAGGCCCGCAGCTTGAACAGGCTGGTGGAATCTGACGGCCCGGCATTGCAGGAGCTGCGGCAGCTGAACATCCACACCACGGGTGAAGAACTCACGGCGCTGCCTGCTGCCATCACCACTCTTCACCGCCTCACATCCATTCAGATCCATGCGCGGAGGTTATCTTCCCTTCCAGATGCCATTGGGGCATTCTCAAGGCTGCGCAGGCTGGACTTATCCAACTGCTGGTCCCTCACGCATCTCCCTGCTTCCCTCACGCAGCTCTCCTGCCTGCATCATCTGAACGCCAGCAACACCAGAATCCGCCTGCTTCCTGCTGGCTTTGCTCAGCTCAGCAGGCTGAAGTTCCTCGACCTTCAGAATTGCAAGCAGCTTCTGGCTCTGCCTTACGACATAGGAGATCTTAGAGTGCTCCAACAGCTTCTAATCGAGGGCTGTGACATGCTCCATATTTGACTACTCAGCAGTGACCACTGCAAGTGCCTTTCACAACTCATAAGCATAGTCTCCTGCCCAAGTTTGTGCCTGCATGCTAGCATGATCAGGCTCCACTACTCTTAAGAGCATACGACTGAGATTTAACTGAGTGAATTACCGTACAGCCTTGGTATATTGGGTTAGAAGTTTTCTGAACATGAACAGGAGTTCTTACTGATTTTTTTTCTTGGCTCGAAGAATATCGCTACAATGCACCACTCGAATTAGCCACGCATGATTCAACAAGGCATGCTTCAAGCAGGCATGATTCAGCCAGGCATGATTCAGCCAGGCATGATTCAACCAGGCATGATTCAGCCTGGCATGATTCAGCCTGGCATGATTCAGGGAGGCATGATTCAGGGAGGCATGATTCATCCAGGCATGATTCAGCCAGGCATGATTCAGCCAGGCATGATTCAGCCAGGCATGATTCAGCCAGGCATGATTCAGCCATGGAGGCATGATTCAGCCAGGCATGATTCAGTCAGGCATGATTCAGCCAGGCATGATTCAGCCTGGCATGATTCAGCCTTGCATGATTCAGCCTTGCATGATTCAGCCTGGCATGATTCAGCCAGGCATGATTCAGCAAGGCACAAATCAGTCAGGCATGATTCAACCAGGCATGATTCAGCCAGGCATGATTCAGCCGGACATAATTCAGCACGCATGATTCAGGCAGGCATGATTCAGCAAGGCATGATTCAGCCAGGAATAATTCAGCCTGGCATGATGCACCAAGGCATTATTCAGCCAGATATTATTCAGGCAGCCATGATTCAGCCAGGCATGATTCATCCAGGCATGATTCAGCCAGGCATGATTCAGCCAGGCATGATTCAGCCTGGCATGATTCAGCCTGGCATGATTCAGGGAGGCATGATTCAGGGAGGCATGATTCATCCAGGCATGATTCAGCCAGGCATGATTCAGCCAGGCATGATTCAGCCAGGCATGATTCAGCCAGGCATGATTCAGCCATGGAGGCATGATTCAGCCAGGCATGATTCAGTCAGGCATGATTCAGCCAGGCATGATTCAGCCTGGCATGATTCAGCCTTGCATGATTCAGCCTTGCATGATTCAGCCTGGCATGATTCAGCCAGGCATGATTCAGCAAGGCACAAATCAGTCAGGCATGATTCAACCAGGCATGATTCAGCCAGGCATGATTCAGCCAGGCATGATTCAGCCGGACATAATTCAGCACGCATGATTCAGGAAGGCATGATTCAGCAAGGCATGATTCAGCCAGGCATAATTCAGCCTGGCATGATGCACCAAGGCATTATTCAGCCAGATATTATTCAGGCAGCCATGATTCAGCCAGGCATGATTCATCCAGGCATGATTCAGCCAGGCATGATTCAGCCAGGCATGATTCAGCCTGGCATGATTCAGCCTGGCATGATTCAGGGAGGCATGATTCAGGGAGGCATGATTCATCCAGGCATGATTCAGCCAGGCATGATTCAGCCAGGCATGATTCAGCCAGGCATGATTCAGCCAGGCATGATTCAGCCATGGAGGCATGATTCAGCCAGGCATGATTCAGTCAGGCATGATTCAGCCAGGCATGATTCAGCCTGGCATGATTCAGCCTTGCATAATTCAGCCTTGCATGATTCAGCCTGGCATGATTCAGCCAGGCATGATTCAGCAAGGCACAAATCAGTCAGGCATGATTCAACCAGGCATGATTCAGCCAGGCATGATTCAGCCAGGCATGATTCAGCCGGACATAATTCAGCACGCATGATTCAGGCAGGCATGATTCAGCAAGGCATGATTCAGCCAGGCATAATTCAGCCTGGCATGATGCACCAAGGCATTATTCAGCCAGATATTATTCAGGCAGCCATGATTCAGCCAGGCATGATTCATCCAGGCATGATTCAGCCAGGCATGATTCAGCCAGGCATGATTCAGCCTGGCATGATTCAGCCTGGCATGATTCAGGGAGGCATGATTCAGCCAGGCATGATTCAACCAGGCATGATTCAGCCAGGCTTGATTCAGCAAGCCATGATTCAGGGAGGCATGATTCGGGAAAGCATGATTCAACCAGGCACAATTCGGCAAGGCATGATTCAGTCAGGCATGATTCAGCCAGGCATGATTCAGCCATGCATGATTCAACCAGGCATAAATCAGCCGGGCATAATTCAGCCAGGCATGATTCAGGCAGGCATGATTCAGCAAGGCATGATTCAGCCAGGCATATTTCAGCCTGGCATGATGCACCAAGGCATTATTCAGCCAGACATTATTCAGGCAGCCATGATTCAGCCAGGCATGATTCATCCAGGCATGATTCAGCCAGGCATGATTCATCCAGGCATAATTTAGCTTGGCATGATGCAGCAAGGCATGATTCAGCCCGGCATGGTTCAGCCTGGTATGATTCAGCCAGGCATGATTCAACCAGGCATGATTCAGCCAGGCATGATTCAGCCAGGCATGATTCAGCCAGGCATGATTCAGCCAGGCATGATTCAGCCAGGCATGATTCAACCAGGCATGATTCAGCCTGGCATGATTCAGCATGGCATGCTTCAGGGGGGCATGATTCAGCCAGGCATGATTCAGCCATGGAGGCATGATTCAGCCAGGCATGATTCATCCAGGCATGATTCAGCCAGGCATGATTCAGCCTTGCGTGACTCAGCCTTGCATGGTTTAGCCTTGCATGATTCAGCCTTGCATGATTCAGCCAGGCATAATTCAGCCAGGCATGATTCAGCCAGGCATGATTCAGCCAGGCATGATTCAACCAGGCATGATTCAGCCGGGCATAATTCAGCCAAGCATGATTCAGGCAGGCATGATTCAGCAAGGCATGATTCAGCCAGGCATATTTCAGCCTGGCATGATGCACCAAGGCACTATTCAGCCAGACATTATTCAGGCAGCCATGATTCATCCAGGCATGATTCATCCAGGCATGATTCAGCCAGGCATGATTCAGCCAGGCATGATTCATCCTGGCGTGATTCAGCATGGCATGATTCAGGGAGGCATGATTCAGCCAGGCATGATTCAACCAGGCATGACTCAGCCAGGCTTGATTCAGCAAGCCATGATTCAGGGAGGCATGATTCGGGCAGGCATGATTCAACCAGGAACGATTCAGCAAGGCATGATTCAACCAGGCATGATTCAGCCAGGCATAATTCAAAGAGGCATAAATCAGCCGGTTATAATTCAGCCTGGCATGATTCATGCAGGCATGATTCAGCCAGGCATATTTCAGCCTGGCATGATGCACCAAGGCATTCTTCAGCCATACATTTTTCAGGCAGCCATGATTCAGCCAGGCATGATTCATCCAGGCATGATTCAGCCAGGCATGATTCAGCCAGGCATGATTCAGCCTGGCATGATTCAGCATCGCAAGATTCAGGGAGGCATGATTCAGCCAGGCATGATTCAGCCAGGCATGATTCAGCCAGGCATGATTCAGCCTGGCATGATTCAGCATGGCAAGATTCAGGGAGGCAAGATTCAGCCAGGCATGATTCAACCAGGCATGATTCAACCAGGCTTGATTCAGCAAGGCATGATTCATCCTGGCATGATTCAGCCAGGTATGATTCAGCCAGGCATGATTCAGCCAGGCATGATTCAGCCAGGCATGATTCAGCCAGGCATGATTCAGCCAGGCATGATTCAGCCAGGCATGATTCAGCCAGGCATGATTCATCCAGGCATGATTCAGCCAGGCATGATTCAGCCAGGCATGATTCAACCAGGCATGAATCAGCCCGGCATGATTCAGCCAGGCATGATTCAGCAAGCCATGATTCGGGCAGGCACGATTCAGCCAGGCACGATTCAGAGCATGATTCATCCTGGGATGATTCAGCCAGGCATGATTCATCCAGGCATGATTCAGCCAGGCATGATTCAGCCAGGCATGATTCAGCCAGGCATGATTCAGCCAGGCATGATTCAGCCTGGCATGATTCAGCCAGGCATGATTCAGCCAGGCATGGTTCAGCAAGGTTTAAAGTTTTTTATTAGGTCGTGACCTATTCCAAACATGCAGCTTAGATGAGGACACATGCAGAGCCTAGCTCCCTGTAGGGAGCATGTGTGAGCACGTCATCCTCCTGCTACAGGAGCAGAGATGTCCTAGGACAGATATCCAGCTGACATGTGGCAAGGTGGGGATGATATGAGTCACGGTGGGCAGAAGGTATCGGTGAGTAGCCATGTGGCACAGTCCGGGTGGATGACGGGTGTGTTGGGTTCGGGGAACTGAAAGAATCTATGTAATTGGGCTAGCTTGGCTATCTGTGCGGACTTGGCCTGTTTCTTCTTGGAGCCTTTGGAATACCGCGAGGATTTTGTAGGCAAGAAGGAAGTAGTGTAGAACTTGAAATAGTGCATCCCCGGTCTTAGTAGTGGTTTCCCTGTAACGAAAGCTGCAGCGAGCGTTCCATATGGTTTTTGTGGCCGCGCCAACGAGAAGACTCCACGGGGCCCCATGCCCAGCTTCAGTCGAAAGCGGGATATGTTGGTGCGTTCTGAGGGAATTGATATCCTCGTAGTAGATTCTGTGGCTGCACTCACGCCACGGGCAAGAGTGTCAATTCTGGCGAGGTGTAAACTCCCAGTTGGCTTCTAGCAGTGCGTTGTAGAGCATCGATGATAGGTTTGGCCACTCCGCACTCAAAAAAGAGATGCGGGAGTGTCTCACGTCTGCCACTGGTGCAGCCGGCGCAAGCACCCTTATCACGGCCGAAGCTGAATCTGGATCCCGACGGAAGTGTTAGCGCAAAAAAAAACAAACAAAAAAGAGAAGAGAAAAGAAAAAAAGAAAAAGAAAAGGAAAAGAAAGGCATGTTCCGAAAAAAAAAAAAAGCATGTTTATAATCTGGAAGAAGGAACGGGCTAGGAAGCATGTTCGTCCATCGTTGTGGGTGAGTGAGCGCTTGCTTAGTATACAGGAGGTCCTGAATGGACGCAAGTGATGGGGTGCCTTTGCTGAGAAGTGGAATCCGAGCCGCCAGGCCGGCACCAGAACAGAAGGATCCCCCAAGCCATCTGTCATAAACGTGAACCCACTCAATACGCCGACTTACATACCTGTCTCCCTATTCGATCCTGATAATACAACTCGAGAAGCCCACAACTACAACAGTGAAGCGCGCCGATCTCCGGATGCCGAGTTACCAGCTCCAAATTCCTCGCAGTACACCACCCGCACCAGAAATGACAGCGACGACGATGTCGTCGAAGTAACCAGCTTCCACGACTACGACCGCCTCCACTATAAAAAGACCAACGAAACTGGCCTCCGTGTTCTTGGCCTCACAGTCGCAGTTCGCCACGGTTCACCCAAAGAACCCACCACCGTGCGACAAGCTCTGTCTGAGCCCGATAGCGAGAAGTGGAAGGCAGCCATGGCGGCAGAATTAGCAACATTAAAGCGTCGCGGAACCTGGAAGCTGGTTCCCCAATCATCTGCGAAGGGAAGAAAGATTCTCAGCGGCAAATGGGTCTTCAGAATTAAGATCTCTCCTATGTCGCAAGCCAGCTCGCACAGTACCTGAAGCGACCTGAAGGGGAGAATCTACTGGATGTGCGCCGAGCACTTCAATACTTCATCTCCACCCCTGACGTCGGACTCTCCTACAAAGCCAACTTAACTGCTACTCTGCAACTTTACGGCTACGTAGACGCTGATCATGCGGGTGATATTGACAACAGATGCTCCCGCATAGGCTTCATCGTCCAACTCCAGCCCGCGAAACTCATTTCCTGGAACTCCCAGAAGCAGGAACTCATCGCTCTTTTGTCCGCCGAAGCTGAGTTCATCGCCGCCAGCGCAGCTGTTCGCGAAGGACTGTACCTGATGGAGCTCCTATAGGAAGCGAAAGTGACGATGAACGGGCACTTTACATTACTCTGCGACAACCAGAGCGCAATCAAGATCGCGAACAAGCCTGGCTTCATGAACCGCACCAAACACATCGCACTCCGTTACTTCTTCGTCAAGGATGAAATTGACAAGGGTAAGGTCAAACTCACGTACCGTATTGCCTTACCGGTGACATGACAGCGGAATTCTTGACCAAGAAACTGCCACGTCAGAAATTTCAGCACTGCATCAACCTCTGCGGGATATCGAAGAAGATATCAACCCACGTGGCTCACTTTCAGGAATGAAGGGGAGTGTTGGAATAACCGAAAGGTTATTGTAACTTTCCCGAATGTTCTCCCCTAGCGCACCACTTCATAGCAAAGTAGTGTTACTGTACCAGTATCGCTACATGCTTGTATAGAGCACTCGGTAGCTCGAGAGTCACCCGAAGGTCAAGAGTCACTAAAAGTTAACAGTCGCGTGTCATAGGGTGAAAGGAGACGGTGCTCCAGTGCTTCCTTCGCTATTCGACCTTTAGGATCCACCTCAAACACGTTAGCAAAAAGGTTGCCATCAGGCAAGGAGCTCTCCACCTCAAAGGCAAATCTTGGTGGGGCATGCATGTCCGCTGCGAGCAGAAACAAGTCGCCTGTGTATAAGGGGACGAGGCTGTGAGAGGAAGCAAGGGCAGCCCACCATTCTTTGGGCATCGCATCGTAAATTTCTTTGAGAATCCTGTGACTGCATGGGTATGTGCGGGGTGGAAACTGGGCCATGACTTCAGCATCATTGAGTCGACGTGCTCCCGTGGCATCGCGGCGGACAATGTTGCCGACACGGACTTCCTTCGTAAGCAGAAATTCTTCTTCTTTAATGCGACCGAACGGCCGCCCGTCAGGTTTGAGGATAAACCGGTTAAACGGCACTGGTCCCGCCAAAATACACCAAAACTCCTGGTGGGGGGAGGAAATGTCAATCGACACTTCTAGCAGGCTCTTGACTTCTTCACGATAACGGGGTGGGATGGAAGGGGGAAGGGCAGGGGCGAAGTCAGCGTGAGAGAGGAAGCCATGCAAGCCAAAGGGGATTGGGATACAAGTTCTAGCGACGGAGGCGCCAGGGAGAGGAGAGAAGCGGCGAAGGGTGCGCTGGATATTGAGTGCCTTGATCTGAATGGAAGGCCTGATAGCCCCCAACCCGCCGTGCTCGATTTTATTGTAGATAACCGTATGGGTGAGGAGGCGGGTAGTACGCCCTGCTGAGATGTATTTAGAAGCCGACAGGAAGCTTCCGACCGCGTCGTCCATCAGGCGGTTCTGAGTGCGGGAGATAGGGAAGCCGGGAAGGAAGCAGGAGGTGTAACGATGAAAAACTTCTATAACACACAAGAAGAGAAGAGGAGCCAGCGGGCAGCCCTGTCGGACTCCGGTCAAAACGGGAATGGGGGGGGCGCAGAGGTTGTTTACAGAGATTCGAGTTGAAGTGCCTGAATGCATGAGCTTAACCCACTGAATGAATGGGGCGGGGAGGCCCAGATGCGATAGGCAGGAAAACATGAAGTCTCTATCAACCATGTCATAGGCCTTGCGAATGTCAACTGTTAGGGCAAGAAGAGGCAAGGACTGAGCGGTAGCCCAGTCGAAGATGTCTAGGGTATCATTTAGCGTATCTCCAATTCTCCGAGATTTGATAAAGTTGGAGTCTGTTAGCCAAGCATATCGCCAGAATTTTATAGTCAGAATTCATGAGCGTGATAGGCCGTAGGTTGTCAACCACTGTGGCGTCACTCTTTCTTGGGATGAGCACGGTTACGGCCCTGCAGCATAGAGGGGGGGAGTTGATCATGGGAGCCGAGGAGCAAGGAGTGTATAGCCGGAGCGAAATGAGTACGGAAGGACCGAAAGAGTTCATCTGGCAGGCCGTCCGGCCCAGGAGTCTTTCCTTTGGGAAGGAAAGCGATAGCCTTAGCGACCTCTGCCAGGGAAAACGGGAGTGAGAGGAGGGATGGAACAGAGTGCGGTAATTGCGAAGAGGGGATGAGCGCCCAGAAGGAGGGGTGATTCGATACTCTCTGGTTGCCACGGTAGAGGTCCCGGAAGAAGGAAGTGCAGAGCAATGACATACCGGGAAGGTCACAGATGAGCTCGCCTGAGGGGGACTGTAGGGAGGGAATCAAGGATGCTTTGATTCTGCTATTTACCCCTACCATGAAAAATAAAACGCCCATCTCTCGCGGGCCTTCGACTTTAAGCTTAGCTTTAAGCGCCAGTTCCGCGAAACGACTGGCTTCGTACCTCTCAAACTGCAATGAGGCAGTGCGAAGACGCTCCTTGGCCACCAAATCCGTAGGATTGATCCCCAGGTGAATACGAAGCTGGCACGTGAGGTTCTGCAGGTGGGCTGGGGTTTTTTTTTTATCTGGATTTTTTCCCGACCAGCAAAAGCCTTGAGCTGTCTACACAGAGCGTTCTTCCATTCGTCCCATTCTGCGGCCGAGGGCGAGGGAGGGAGATTACGACAAGCGGAAACGACTAGGTGCGCCAGTTGCGGACGCTTTAGAATATCCTGCGGAAGGCGCCAAGGCCGCGGAGCTATATTAGGACTGTCGCACTGAAGAACGCAGTAGGGAGGAGAGAGATCGTGATCAGACACTTCTCGGGAAACGGACATGTAGCCGGCGTCGAGCAGTCGCACAGCAAGGGGGGCAGAGATATAGATTCGGTCAAGGCGCAAAGCAGACGGCGGCGTATCACCTTGATCATTCCTGGGGATTGCAAAAAAAGAGAACATAGTGGCCACATGGTAGATCTTTCGGAAAGATTCAGCAAACCGATGATTGTCAAGAATGGTGGAAAGTATGGCTCCTTCAGACACCTCGCGACTAAGCAACGGTCGGTTTCTATCCTCAGGAGCGCAAACCGCATTAAAGTCACCTGCCAGGATAGTACCGACTGCCGCAGAAGGAGAGTCAAGACCAGGCGCGAAGATAGCACGCCACCACTGTCGCCTGAGGGTTGGAGTACAAGAGACATAAGCAGCGATGATACGGAACTGTTCCTGTAGAAAGTTAGCATGAATCGTCAGCAGGCGCCCGTCAGGAGAGGGATCAGTAGAAGATATGCTGATGTTTTTGTTAAAGGTTAAGATAGCTATGCCTCCAG